TGCCCCCACCCCCGCCATCATATATCTCAACTGTTTCTTCTCTCAAGCATTTAAAAAAAAGAAAGAAAGAAAGAAAGAAAGAAAGAAAGAAAGAAAGAAAGAAAGAAAGAAAGAAAGAAAGAAAGAAAGAAAGAAAGAAAGAAAGAAAACCTGGAGCAATACAAAAGTTCTTCAGCTGACTCTTAGGAGCAAACAACATATGTTCTTGAACATCTGCGCTTTTCCCAAGCTATTTTTTTCCCATTATTGTCAAGAGAAAAGAAGTTTAGTGGAATGTTTCTCCACAGAGGCACAAGTCTATAATACTCCCTGTTGATTACATATAAAAGACACAAAATATTAGTTTATTAAAAGCAGCTTCAACCATTGCTGTACAAAGCAGTTCTCCGATGGAACAGATTTATGAAGTAACAGCTGAAAGGTATGCAGATCACAGATACATGACAAATGTACTTTATTACACGGATCAGAAATACCATATGTACTAGCAGTTACTGTACAATGATACACAACACCCAACTAAGACTATTTAAAGGTTTTGCTGATATTGAAAACTATAAAGACACAATGTGAGAGTGAGAGAGTGTTTCATAAGATAGCATGATGCCAAGACAAGTCATCGCTTTAGGAAATTAAATACACTCTGCATATTATAAACTTAATGTATTAAAAACTATGCCATTCTTTACATTAAAATGCAAAGAACTTTACCCTGTGCACTGTTTAAAGCAGATGTTTGTAACGTTTTTCCGTACTTTAAAGTGGAACTTACTGGAATAAATACCAGACTTAACATACATTAACAAATTTAAGATTTCGGATTTTGTTATTTCCACAAAAAAGATACTTAAGTCTGTAATCGTGTAGCACCAAAAGACTATCGAGGGTAAAATAAGCATACAGCATTTCAGACAGGGCAACTTCCCACAAGGCATTTCTTAGCTAAACCGATGTTAGCAGCTTTCAACCGGATTTCCAAGTACGGTGTTTGAATCCATTCTGGTGTGTTCCAACCAAGAGGTTGTCCACCCCTGGTTTGACAGGATAGTACTCCCAAGGCTTGAGTACTATTCCATCTTCCATCCCTGGTCAGAAGGTTCTTCCTTGGATTGAACCAAAGTCCATCTCTCTGCAGCTTCCCCTCAGAAGCATTCATTCATTCTACAGCCTGGGGCAGGCAGCCTTGCTCACAACTGAATAGGTGCCTAACTTTGAGCAAGTATGCTGGCCTCTTCCCAAGCTGTTCTCTCATCTGAAAATTGGGGTGAAAGTAGTGACCCCACAGCATCATTTTAAGGATTCATTTAAATAATAGAGGTAAAGCATTTAACACGACATTTCCTAAACGTGGGTTATCATTACTATTATTCTGACAAAGGAGTCATATGTGAGATCACATTTTTCTCCTGTCCTAAAAATAGGTGAAGACCTTTGGCATTCAACTGTATAAAATGTAGGGGTTTTGGTAGGTAGGTGCAAATCTGGCCCTGGCCCTCCTGCCCCCCCCAGGGCCCTGGGAAGAGCAGAGGGGCCTTTGACCTGGCCATGAGGATTTAGCAGCTCTCCATGCACCTCCCCCCACCCCCAACATTTCCCTATTAAATTCTACGAGGAATTGTGTAGTGTCTGCTACAATGGCATTTCCGGGAAAAAGAATTCTATCTTGCGGCTAGCCTGAATTTCAATCACTCTGCCAGGTGGCATCAGAAGGTAGTCACTTAGCTAGTAAGCTTAGTCAACAGCCCAACATCTGCTTCTCAATTGCAGTACTTATAATAAATTTGGGAATTCCTTAATGTCTTTGGATTCCTCCCATGTACTTTGTGGCTAGCACTTCACTGATCTAAACTATACACCCCTAATTCTCACGGTCACAAATAATCCATTTCAGATATTTAAACCAAGGCACTTATAGCCAGTTATTTTTCATTCTCCACGTCTCAAAAAATATATCCCAGACATATAACTGTAAATTTTGAAAATACCCAAATTTCCTGATAAGCAAATATATTCTGCTGCATATTTATTCTCAGCAGTATGTGGACTAGTAGAGGAAAAAAATTGTACCTATAATCAATGTGACATTAGGAAAAGAAGAAGAAAAAAAAAAAGATGTGCTCCAAACCACTACTTGAGTCTGCCTTCAGACTCAAGCTCAGCTTCAACAACAGTTCACATGACTTCCCTGGGAGCTTTGGTACCACAGGCCACACCTTTAGAACTTGGTCAGCCCGTTCCACAGAAGCACTACCTGGAGAACTTCAGTCTGGGTCAGGCTAAGGTTTGAGAGGGAGTCTATAAACCCTGAGCCTGCAAACTGGATTGAATCCAAATAAGTATTGCTGAGAGGGTTAAGTGAGTTAATACTTTGATTGGAGAGTTTAAGAGTGAATCATTTAGTGCAAGGTCTATTTGACAAATAACAAATAGGTGAAAACAACTTTGATTCTCCTTATTTTAATTTCTTAAAAATCAAAAACAAAAGGGGAGCCTGGCTAGCTCAGTCCATTGGCATTTTGACTTTGGCTCAGGTCATGATCTTGCAGTCCATGAGTTTGAGCTCCACGTCAGGCTCTGTGCTGACAGCTTGGAGCCTGGAGCCTGCCTCAGATTGTCTCTCTCTCTTTCTACCCCTTCACTGCTTGCACTCTGTCACTCTCCCTCAAAAATAAATAAAAATATTAAAAATTTTAAAGAAAAAAACAAAAATAAAATGTTATATTCAGTTCCTACTGTGACTTAGCCCATGCTAATTCCAAAAATGACTTGATGCTTAGCTTGAGCTCCATCTGGTGGTGTACATCAATTCTCTGGAAAACAGGAGTCAAATAAATGACAGATTTGAAAGATTAGCTAGTCATCTAAAAGATTAAGGGACCATGCTATACTTAATTTATGCCCGTTATGAATAAAGCAAGAGGTGATTCTACTTCTGCATTTGTTTTGGATTGTTTGGGAACAATCTTGCAGGAGGTGCAGCTCAGGCAAGCCCCAGTCACACCTGAGTGCCAAGCCTTTCTTACAGCCACCTTTTGAGAGGCCATAGGATGCTTGAGAGAGCATGTTTCCCAGTAAGTTTTTAACCAGTGATGTTCTGATTTCGTATCGTTAACTTTTAAGCTAAATCCTGAAGAGACAAGTCTAGTGGGCTGGACAAATTTAAGTGAACATCCTGACATCAAGAGGCCCTGGATGAGAGCTCCAAGCTACTACCAGTGGAGTCAAGTTCGAAGTCATCAGCCACAGAAAACATCAACACAGCCCTGACATGGGCCTCTGACCTCAACTTAAAGAAAACCCAGCTCTAAAATACCTGACAACGGTGCTGAAGTTTACATAAGCACCAAGTGTAACATCACTGATGCAGTCAATTCCCTTGGTGGAATGAAAACTAAGTAACCTGGGGCGCCTGGCTGGCTCTGTCGCTAAACTATGTGACCCCTGGTCTTGGGCTTAAGCTCAAGCCCCAAGTTGGGTGTAGAGACTAAAACAAACAGTAAGTAGCTAGTATATTTAGGCTGATATTGTCAGTGGCTTAATTGGAAAACAGTAGCAACTTTTTATTTCATGGATAAACATTTATGTATTTGCTTTTTCCTCACTAACTCTTGTTCCTAACTATACCAAAAGAAAAATAAAAAAGGCCATGGATGACCTTTATTTTCCAACTATTTTCTATCAGCTTCTTTTGAGAAAATGTATTTTAAGTATTTGAAAATTATCCATTCACCTTTCAGTGAACTAATCACTGAGTAAATTGAGAAATCTATGATACAAAATAATCTTGAGATTTTCCTGGCATTAAATTTTAAAGACTCAAATCTCAAAAGATTAAGGTCAGGTCTTATCTCTACATGGTGTCACAGCCTAGCAGTGTGCCTGGCATCAATCTGTGCCTTGATGACTAATAGATTTCACTTTTTAAAAAATATAATTTATTATCAAATTGGCTAACATACAGTGTGTACAGTGTGCTCTTGGTTTTGGGGGTAGATTCCCGTGGATCATCACTTACGTACAACTCCCAGTGCTCATCCCAACATTAATAGATTTCACTTTTAACGTGGTTTCCCTCTGAAGTAGGGAACCTACTTCATCCCTCTTCTGAGTAGATGCCCATAAGGTCAAAAGTTCCTAGGTCTCCGTCCCTGTATCCCCAGCACCTGGAAAAGTTCCTAGCACATAGTAGGCACTCAATAAATATTTGTTGTTCCTGTGAACGTATAAGGATGGTGAATAGGACACTGTAAAATTTCAGAGAGAATATAAGGTTTAAATTGCTTAACTAGGGGCACATGGGTGGCTCAGTCAGTTAAGCATCCGACTTCAGCTCAGGTCATGATCTTATGGTTCGTGGGTTCAAGTCCCATGTTGGACGATGTGCTGACAGTTCAGAGCATGGAGCCTGCTTCGATTCTGTATCTCCTTCTCCTGCCCCTTCCTTCCCTGCTTACACTCTATCTCTTTCTCTCAAAAAAAATGTTTTAAAGTTGCTTAACTAAAAGTAAACTTATAAATAAGAATGAAATTAGGAAACTGTAGCAAGACAGACTTCACAAAAATGATTTCATTTTACCAGCATTTCCAACAGTATATTCTAGTCTTCAGAAAACTAGTTTGAATCATAAAGTTAATCAGGTTTGTTAGATCTCTAAAAGACTTTACTAATACTAAGCTAAATACTTTTTGTATTTAGTATTTTGTATTTAGTTTGTAGCATTTCCCAAACTGATGTGATTACAAAATATATTTTTCACCATACATCTAGAAAAAAGGATTCTAAGAAATATACTGTGAGAAATGTATTTTATTAGACTCCATAATATATAAGTTGACATCAAACCAGTTCCCAGGATCTTCTATCTCCTAAAAAGAAGGAGCATATTAATTTGTAGATGTTAGTATTCTACCTAAAAACTTAAGATTTTTTTAACGATTGAAGATGGTCTTCTCTTCTACTAGAAAACCTTAAGGACATATGAAAGAAAAGCACTTCAAGATCCAGACAAAATATCTTTTATTCTGAATTAAAATTAGAACTCTAAACAAGTAGTGTTTATAAGATCCACTGACATATTTTAAGTTGTGTAAGTTTTCTTTAAACCTGAATTCGCTCAAATGTGTCAGTATCTTTTTTTCACCTCAATGGAGACCAAACAATTACATCCACAGTAACACTTGCTAGAATTTTGATGTCTGAGAACCCCTGCACTTTGGACAGCATCCAATTAAAGCATCAGTGTCACTTTTAATTATCAAAGAAAATATTTTATCAAGCTCCCAAAACAAATGTGAACCATTAAGCTGGGTTTGAATCGAAGAAAAAGGCCAAGTTAAATCTGGAAACACAGTTTTCATTTCGTGAAAGTTGAAATCCACGTACACATTCTAATCGAAGATGTGTCCTATGTAGGATTTTTCAAGGTTTTAAGAGTCTACCAGGCCAAACCCTTGGCTGCCTTTATTGCTTTTGCTTTGCTTTTACCCTTCCCTTTTTCCCGCTTTGCCTTCAGCCTTTTCCTTTGTCTCTGGTTCATCCATATGGGGTATTGTCCATGCTGGTCTAGAAGACTCTTTCTGTTTCTCTTAATATCAGTCTCCATTTTCATGTCATCTGAATAAAAAATGGAACACTATTAATGCTCATGAATAAAGAAAGAACCTTGTGGAAAAGCGTGTTAATGCAGTGAGCACATCAGAGCTGAAAGTGGTTCTGAAACTACAAAAGAAAAAAAAAATCCCTTTCTCTATGGAATGCTCTCTGACGAAAGCCCTCACAGCACATTCAATGGACTCAAAATGCTCTCATGGGTTCCTACAACCCCGAAAGACATAAAAAGTATTTTTGTGAGGGACTAGAGATGTCCTCTATTTAGTCACTAAGAAACTTTAAGAAGAATGTTGTCATGACTGTCCTCTGGATAAGAAAGTTAAATAGCAAACATTTAGGATGTATGGGTTTTAGTTACTGCACGAAGGATAAGTGTGTGGCTGGGAGCATAAGCGAGTTATAAAAACACTTCTCAGATAAGAATCATTCTCAGTTTAGCTTTCTTGAGCTAAACAGGACAGCTGAGCCTATTAAGTGTACCTACACTTTTAATGGACAGGCCTTAGAAGCAAATGAACTATGAAGAATGGTCAGCCACTTCTCATGAAGTGCACTCGGAAGAGGTGGAGTAGTAAGCAACAAGCCTGTGATAGGCAGATGACAAAGAAAAACAACGCCGGGGTGCCTGCCTGGCTGTCAGTAGAGCATGTGACTCTCTACCTCAGGCTCCTATGAGTTCAAGCACCATGTGGGTAGAGGAAGGAAGGGAGGAAAGGAAGGAAGGGAGGGAGGAGGGAGGAAGGGAGGGAGAAAGAAAAGACAAGAAAAGAAAGGAAAAGGAAAGAAAAGAAAAATCTGGATATAGGATTGCCTAGCTGGCTCAGTTGGTAATGCACACAATTCTTGCATTGTGAGTTTGAGCCCCGCACTGGGAGCAGAGTTTACTTAAGAAAGAAAAAAAAGTATACTAGAGTATTGGAGCCAGGGAGGGGTGGGGGGTGGGGAGACACACAATCCAAAGCAGGCTACAGGCTCTGAGCTGTCAGCACAGAGCCCGATGCGGGGCTCAAACTCCTGAACCATGAGATCATGACCTGAGCTGAAGTTGGACGCTTAACCAACTGAGCCACTCAGGCGCCCCCACTAACTAGCTTTTGAATGATATTTTAGGTGCTGTTCCAGGTTCTGGGGATACAGTGGTCCAAATACACTCCTTACTGTCATGGAATTTACAATGTTCTGTTGAAAGGAGAATAACAAAGCAGACCGCAGCCTGTGTTAAGTGGCTTTTTTAAAGAGAAGCACCAGAACCACATTAAGACCCGGTAGGCTCTGATGAACACAAGGAAAGGCAATGAGATGTTTTAAGCATGGGAATGACAATAACCTATTTATTGTCAATAAATTATTGCCTATTTATTCTAAAAAGATCATACTGTTTGATATGTAAAAAATGAATCAAAAGGGGGTGCCTTGGTGGCTCAGTTGGTTGAACGTCCAGCTCTTGATTTTGGCTCAGATCCGGATCCCAGGGTCCTGGGATGGAGGCCCACATCAGTCTCCACAATGAACGTGGAGCCTGCCTAAGATTTTCTCTCTCCTTCTGCCCAACAGCCCCCCCACCCCCACGCCTTGCATGTGCTCTCTATTAAAAAAACAAAAACAAAAAAGAGAATCAAAAGGGAGCAAGAGCTGAAGAGAGAAGTAAAACAGACTCCTATCTTGGTTCAGGCAAGAAATAATGGTCATCTTAAAGTGAAAACATGAAAGGAGGAAAATGGACAGATTCCTAAAGTATTTTGGAGATATTCAAGATGTGCTAATGGTTTAGAGGTGGGAGATAAAGGAAAAAGGGATCTAGGTTTGTGGCTTAAGAAACTGAGTGTGCAGTTGAAGGAAATGAAATGAGGGGGAAACAGGGACCTGAGGGCAGAGATGAGCAACTACACTGAAAACAGGCAGATTACTAAATGGAGAGACTCCACACCCTCAGTTCTATCCCCACTGAATTCGTGAAATACTCCAAGAAGGAGGGAAGCTGGACATTGCTGTATGCAGGAGATGAGAGAATTCCTCTCTAAGAATGATGCGAGAAGAGGAAAAGACCTAGGTTCTGAGATAGATCCTCTCCTACAGAACCTTCTAGGTTCAACCCAATCATACTCCAAGTCTAACAGCTGATAAGCCCTCCCCCACACCTTGTCCCCACTTCCCCTGCCAGCTTCCATTCATCATTTTAGTGCTCTACTTTTAAATATAAACAACCATTCACTAGACTTTGAAGAAAACCTCATTGTGTAAGAGAAAGATGAAAATAAAGGAAGGCAGGGGGTGGAGGGAAAGAATTCAAAAAAGTAGACAATGCACAGAGTAGTTCAAAATTTCGCAAACTACAATGAATTCCCTCAATGAGATTAGAGAAGATATTTCCATTAAGAACCTCAGGCTACACACTGAGATACCACCTCACACCAGTCAGAGTGGCTAAAATGAGCAAATCAGAGAACTCTAGATGCTGGCGAGGATGTGGAGAAACGGGCACCCTCCTACACTGTTGGTGGGAATGTAAACTGGTACAGCCCCTCTGGAAAACAGTGTGGAGGTTCCTCAGGAAACTAACAATAGAACTCCCCTATGACCCAGCAATAGCACTGCTAGGAATTTACCCAAGGGATACAGAAATGCTGAGGCATAGGAGCACATGTACCCCAATGTTCATAGCACCACTCTCCACAATAGCTAAAACATGGAAAGAGCCTAAGTGTCCATCAACAGATGAATGGATCAAGAAGATGTGGTTTATCTATACCATGGAATCCTACATGGCAATGAGAAACAATGAAATCTGGCCATGTGTAGCAACATGGATGGACCTTGAGGGTGTTATGCTGAGCGAAATAAGTCAGGCAGAGAAGGACAAATATCATATGTTTGCACGTATAGGAGGATTAGGAGGAACTTGACGGAGGAACAAGGGGGAGAAGAAGGGGGGAAATGGTGGGGGAAAGGGAGAGAGGCAAACCATGAGAGACTCTTGAATGCTGACAAAAACTGAGGACTGATGGATGTGGGGGGGAGGGGGATGGGCATGGAGGAGGACACTTGTGGGGATGAGCACTGAGTGTTATGTGGAAACTAATTTGACAATAAACTATTTGTAAAAAAAAAAAAAAAAAGAACCTCAGGCTACAACAAAGAAAGAATAAAAGAGAAAAAAGAACTTTCAGAAATTAAAAATATAACAGGAAAACTGAACAGTTCAAAATAAGAGATAGACAACAAAGCTATGAAAATCATAAAGTATAAGAGAAAATAGAAAATAGGAGAGAAAACTATAGAGTAAATTGAACAGACTCAAAAGCAAATAGGCATCTACCATGCAAAATATATAAAGAACACTTACAATTCAACAAAAGGACAATGCAATTTAAAAATCAGCAAAGGGGCACTTGGGTGGTTCAGTCAGTTAAGCGTCCTGACTCTTGATTTCAGCTCAAGTCATGATCTCAGGGACATGCAATCGAGCCCCAACATCATCAGCCCCAGCATAAAGCCTGCTTGAGATTCTCCCTCTCCCTCTGTCCCTTACCGCTGTCTGCGTGAGCTCTTTCTCTCAAAATAAAATAAAAATGGGCAAAGGACTTGAAAAGATCATTCTGCGAAGACAGTATACAAATGGCCAACAAGCATATGAACACATCAACAGCGTTAATGACTGAGGAGATGCAAATCAAAACAATTAGATATCACTTCACACCCGGTAGGATGAGGCAATTCTCAACCCCTCCTCCCCCAAAAAACAAGGAAAAACTAGTATGCCTGATATAGAAAACAGTAAACAGAATTATCAAATGACCCAGCCAATTCCATTCATAAGTACAAACCCAAAAGAAATGAAAACATATATTTAAACAAAAATGTGTACACAAATGTTCACAGTAGCACTATTCACAACAGCCAGAAGGTGGAAACGACCCAAATGGCCATCAACTAATGATTGGATAAACAATATATGGTATGTACATAAAATGCTGTATTCTTCAGCCTTAAAAAATGAGTACTGATACATGCTACAACATGGATGGACCTCAAACACATTAAGCTCGGTGAAAGAAGTCAGACAAAAAAGGTCATGTTATAGGATTTCAATTATATGAAATATCCAGAAAAGGTAATCCATAGATACAGAAAACACATTAGTGGTTGCCAGAGACTCCATGAAGGGAGGAAGAGGGAGACAGTTTTATGTGCACAAAATGTCCTTTTAAGGTGATGAAAATATTTTGGAAAAAGAGATGATGGTTGGAATACATCATCAATGTACTGAATGCTACTGAACTGCATACTTTAAGGTGGTTAATTTTGTGTTATGTGAATTTTATCTCAGTGACAGAAAAAAGAGCAAATGGGCAGAGGTGTTGTACATACGAGGAAAAAGAGACATACAGTGTTAAAAAGTATCAAGGAGAGCTGAACTAAAGCAGCAGATTGAGAGAAATGTGGGATCAAGGGAAGGATTTGTCTTTCTAGAAGGGGCATCCTAGAACACATTTATGCTGTCTGAATGGCCCAGTGAAGAAGACAGGCCAATAAGCAGGATACAGGCATACAGCCCTGGAGAATGCAGAGGAATTCAGACACATGGAGTTACTGGCCTTTGAGAGAGTAATATTAGCAAGAGGGAAAACTTCCAGGATTGGAAGGCTGAGGATCACTGCTCTCTTCCTTGACCACCGGAAGCCACATAAATATACTTCTATTTTAAGAGCCTGATGATTACAAGTGCTTATTTCAGCTTGTTGCCAAAGTCTTATATGAGGATGTGAAAACCAAGGAGTCTTTTCCTGTGCTGAAGCTACTAAAATACACGGCCTCTAACTTTAGACTGTGATGAAGACAGAGGTACCTAGAATCTGTCAAAATCAAATACAGGGGAACTTTGATTTTTTAGGAAAATAATATAATGGCATATAAGGATTCTTTGAATGGGAACTAGATCTTACAAAGGATAAAATGAAAAACGATCTGCTATCTTGCCTAGTCTCTACTGAGTAGTGTTCTCTGCCAACAAGGAGGCGTCTACATTCGTCAACTCCTGTTATACTATTTCTGACACACTTAGGCTGTTGTACAAGCCTAAACACTTTGAAGAATCCAAAACTGCCTATTCACATAAGGTGACTTTAAAATAGTTTAGCATAGAATCTCTAGCATGACTATAAGCCTTCAAAGAATCATATGGGCATGGGAGGAGGCTTGTAAGGAAGCATGTGCGGGAAAGAGTGGGAGACAGTCTAAAAGGGAAAGAGTCACAAAAGAAAACTGATAGAATCATTATTAATTTTTTTGTCTATTTGTTTATTTTGAGAGAGAGAGAAAGAGCAGAGAGAGAGAGAGAGAAGCAGTGAGTGAGAGAGAGAGAAGAGAGAGAGAGAGAGAGAGAATCTGTAGCAGGCTCCGCATGTCAGTAAGAACCCGATGCAGGGATTGAACTCACAAACCATAAGATCATGATCTGAGCCAAAGTCAGACACTTAATCTACTGAGCCACCCAGGTGTCCCTATTATTATTTTTTACATGAAGCACTTAAACTCACCTTTTTCATCTTGCACCGCACATTCAGTTTTCTCTTGACAATGTTTGGGTACCACCACAGTTGCTATCTCTTGAACATCTTTCATTAAAACATCACCATCTATTTTAAGAATACTTTTAAGTCTGCTGAGTTCCTTTGGGGCATTCTTTTTTCTCTTTTCAGCACGCATCTTCCTTTTCCACTTACTCCGTAAGCTTTTAGCCATATTTTACCTGGAAAGCTACCAGAAATACATATACAAAAGCAAAAATTTACTACCAAAAAAAGGGCAAATCCTTAGAAAACCAGGTCAAAAGGTATCGCTACAAAACATGAGCAAATGGAATGTAACACACTTCACTCTGTTCATGATTTATGGCAGCATAATGTACAAGTTATGTAAGAATCAACACTGTATACACAGCCACTAAGTAACAAGAGCACCAAATCAAACTCCCCGTGGTCACTGGCCAACTGTAGGTCAATTCTGAAAGCTCCTGGAGTTTCCACACAAGGTGCAGAAATGGAATCTCCCCCCAAATGCAAAGACCTTACATTATGCAGCAACTTACAAATTACAAAATGTTTTTATATGTAACTTTTAACTTGACTGCCTCCAAGCTTATAGGACACTTCCTCCTTAACCTGCCCTCAACTCAACCTACCTACTTAAAACAATTTCTTTACTGTTTATTTTTGAGAGGGAGCGAGCACATGCGTGGGAGGGACAGGGAGAAAGGGAATACAGAGAATCCCTAGCAGGCTCGGTGCTGACAGACAGCAGAGCCTGATGCAAGGCTCAAACTCACAAATGGTGAGATCATGACATGAGCAGAAGTTGAAGTTGGATGCTTAACCGACTGAGCCACCCAGGTGCCCCTCAATTTAGTTACTTTAAACCTGTCTATATCCACTATTGCTGTTCTTCATCCTAGCCCTAAATCCTCTAAAAGGCAGTTAGTGTGAGCTTTTAAAAACTTAAGAGCTTTTCATAATCTTTCATGGAATTCTTTTTAAATGATATCCCACTTTATATTCAGAATCTACAAGACTATTTGTGACCTTCAACTCTATTTCACCTCAGGCTCCAGGCTCCACTTCATCCCCAAGTACCAATTACATTGGAAAAAAAAGCTCAATCAGTGACAACCTAGGCACAGTGTGGGGATGTGAGAAGGAATGGGAAGGAAGGAATTCTAGGTACTATGAAGGGTTTGGACAAAGGTTTTTGAGAGTGATTTAGAACATAATCTTGGTTGCAGTGATAGATGTTTGTATACATATATCACAACTTACACTGGGGCACCTGGGTGGCTCAGTTAGTTGAGCACCAACTCTTGATTTCAGCTCAGGTTATGATCTCATGGTTAGTGAGTTCCAGTCTCCCTAAACTTCCATGGGCTCTGGGCTGACAGTGGGAGCCCCCTTGGGACTCTCTCTCCCTCTCTCTCTGTCCCTCCCCTGCTCTCTCCCTCTACCTCTCTCAAAAAATGAACATTAAAAAAAAAAAAACCTTAACATTACACATTTTAAACATGTGCAATTTAATAACTATAAATCAATCAAGCAGTTACATAAAATGTTGAGACATGATATTGGAGGGGAAAATTTCAAAGTCCAAACTACCTCCACTTTAGTACCTTTACAATTTGCCCCTTCTATGCCTGGGAATGATCTTACCAAAACTTGCTCCTTCACTTAAGTACCTCTGAAAGGGCTTCTCTGACCTCCCCCCTCCCGCCGCCCCGTAAGCTTCCCTCCTTTTATTCTCCACCACATCATCCTTTTCTTTCCTTTTAAATACGCGTTACAATCTGAAAATATTTAGTTCGTTTTCTGTCATCCCGGTGAACTGCGGGCTCCGCGAAGGCAGGCGCTAACTAAATAGGTCTTGTTCCTCGTTGGATCCCCCAGTGCACTGAGCATCTGTTGAATGGATAACTAACAGTTAACAGTTTGGGGCCCACAACTAGCAGCCACGAAGTCACTCTGTTCCCCTAACTACAACAATCCGAGCCTGCGGGGGGCAAGGGCTGAGGGGTTGCGGTAAACAACTTTGAGGGCCCAGGATAACCTGAGCGAGGCTACCCACAAAGGAGGGCTCCACGTTTCACAGAGCACGGGGAAGCCAGAGGACCGCCCCCCCACCCCCCCACGGAACACCCTCGTTCCTGACGGAGGGCTGCGTCTCGGGCCCAGAGACGACCTTGCCCAGAGAGGGCCCAGGCTTGAGATGAGACTCTCTACGGGCGGCAGGTTAGATTCTCACGTCCCAGGCCTCACTGCACCCAGAAAACAGAGAACTCACCAGGTAAGTCAGAACCTCGCAGATGGCACGCAGACCACGCTGACCGGAAGTCTCGACACTTCCGCCTTCCTGCCAGCGCCTTCCCACCCACGCCCGGGAGCCCCGGGCGCGCGGCACGCCGGGAGCCAAGAACACCCGAAAGCCTCGAGGGGCGGGGCCTTCTGCAGACTGGCGCTGGCGCACTTCCTGCCTTTAATGGGAGCGCAGATTTAGGAGCTTGACTCCTCTCCTGTGGATTCCCAAAAGGGATTTGGAGATTGCAGAAAATCTGGGTGGAGGTTGGGCGCCAGCTAGACCAGTTTGCCGAGCTTGAGCGGGTAGCTCCGACACCCTAACACAAAAAGTGATTCTGACCAGGTGACCCTGCATGCCTACTAGTGCGCTCAGAGTCGACCTTTACATCTCGGGTCCCGCATCCCGGTTCACACGACACTCGTGGATTTCCTTAGACTGAATCATCCCAGACACCTATTCTTCTAGAAGAAGAACTGAAATCATCTTTATTTGCAGCCCTAACATTTTCCCATCACGGGTGATGACCTCACATATGTACACATTTGTCAAAACTTACCAACTGTACACTTTAAATGTGTGCGATTTATTATATGTCCGTTATACCTCAATTTTTTTTAAACCGAAAACAACCCTCTCCCATCCCAAAGACAAATTCAGAAGGTAAACTGATTCGGTTCAACCAATTTTTACCTGGCTAACATTATGGTTGTCTTAGGTGATAATCACGAGTCACAAACATCAGCTGTTTTTTTGTTTTGTTTTGTTTTGTTTTGTTTACATGTGCTCCTAATACCATAGGCTTTGTAAACAGGTCTTGTGTTGCATTTTTGGTTCCAACACTTCTTTGTAAGTAATGAAATTAAGTATCTCAGAGCCTGAAATGCCTTATCCATAGACTCAATACAACCTAAGCGATCCTAGGTAGCTTTTATAATTTTTACATAAGTTTAAACATGCACAGTACCATTTCTTTTTCTTTCTTTTGAGAGGAAGGAAGTGAGAGGGGTAGAGAGGGAAAGAGAGAATCCCAAGCAGGGTGGGGGCTTTCAACACAGAGCCAAAAAGCAGGGATCGATCTCACAGAAATCAAGAATTGGTTGTTCAACCAACTGAGCCACTGAGGCGCCCCACAGTACTGCTTCTAAGCTGTATTTTCCGGAGATTTATAACATATACCAAAACAAACAAACAAAAAAACCCCACTCAGGCAATTGTCTCTAATGATGCCTAGTAAATTCTGGTTGGGTTGCTAGAAAAGTTGAGTTCTTTCTGAGATAATGAGTATGTACCTTCCTTCTTTAAATTTCTGACCTTGAAGAAATCCTGCTACATATGGAAAATACTACACTCAAAACACAGCACGGTTTTTCAAGTGGCTGAAAAACTCATAACATATGGTATATAAAAAAGGAGCACACATTAGAAACCTGCTTTCTTTAAGTAAGAGATTAACCCTTTGTAAAGCAAGTGAATTTCTATTTTACAGGTTAACCATGTATCTTAGTTGCCTCTCCCAAAAATACATGTTCACACTGCATTTTACAGAAAGCTCATGGACAGTCCTAATTAAGTGCACCTTTCTTAACAAACCAGGCCAAGAGGTGCCTGAGTGGCTCAGTAGGTTAAGCGTCTGACTTCAGCTCAGGTCACGATCTCACAGTCCATCAGTTGGAGCTCGTGTCAGGCTCTGTGCTGACAGCTCAGAGCCTGGAGCCTGCTTTGGATTCTGTGTCTCCCTCTCTCTATGCTCCTCCCCCACTCATGATCCGTCTCTGTCTCTCAAAAGTGAGTAAATATACAAAAAAAATTAAAAAAAAAAAAACCAAAAACCAGGCCAAGACTTAAAGACACCTAGTACTAGAAAAGAGAAAAATTTCTCTATTATGAAAATGTCACGGTGTTAAGCATATGCCAAAGTTCTTCAGTAAAAAAGCTGAATCGTGAACTGCATTATTGAAAAAAAAAACCTTTTAAATTTATGTTCCTCACCAGTTTGTATAAAAGCCGTTCTAACAATAAATAAATGGCCTTAGTATATTTAAAAATCCTTCATTCATTCCCTCATTCATACATTTGAGTATGTGCTCTGTGACAGGCTCTATGCCAGGTACACAAAGATGACTGAAACTAAACTACCAGCTTCAGGAAACTTTAGCCCCTGATGGAGGGATGAGGCTTACAGGCCGATCTGAACATTGCTTCAGCAACCCCACAGAGCTGCAAGGAGCCTCCTGTAATGGAGGATACGGTGGGTAGCACTGAATGGGTGACAGGAAGCGTCCAGTTCCCTGTCTTAAAGGCATATGACAAACAAGCACTAGCCAGTAGCGCCTCTGCAGCCAGGCCTCTGCCAGGGAACTCCCAATCTGACCGATCACTCAGTGAGGACTACAGCGCCTTCCGGGATTCAGACAGTGACGCCACGTTGCCCAGGCCCTAAGTGATGGGGACTTCAAGGCAAAGCTCTACAAAGATGAACAGGAAAAAAAACCCTGAGTCCCCCGCTGTTCCAAAGAGGCCCACAGCTGGCTGTTGACACCAGAAGTCCCCAGAGGGCATCAAGTGGATCAAAGCCTGAGCTGAGACCTGCAGGAAGAAAAAAATGTAGGCAGGCAGATACGGCCCACCGCAGCTTTCCCAAAATTACATTCAATAAAAACGGCTCTCCAATACTGCTCCCTCCCTGTTCTCCTTCTTCCTCAGACTGTACTCTGTACGTTGCATTTGGAGTTGCCAGTCACTCTAAGTCCTGCTAATTCCACTTTTTAAAACATTTCTGGAGTCTGTATATTTTCACCTTTATTTGTTATAAAAAACTGAAGTTACATGCACCCTTTTATCCAGCAATTCTGCTTCTAAGTATATTTCCCTATCTTGGCAAACTCCTATCCATGCACTCTAGGTGCATATACAGGGACACACACAGGAGCACTGATTTTGCCAGTAAAGAGGAAGGAATCCTATAAAAATTGACAGGAGAATGCATGAATAACCACGGTTCATTTATGAAGCACAGTCTACATCAGTGGTTTTCAAACTTCCTGGTCTGGTGATCTCTTCACACTCTTAGAAATTCAACATTTGTCATATCAGAAATTAAAACAATTTCTTACATTTATTTGTCATTTAAAAAAGATAAATGAATTGCAGGTCTACATTATGTTTATTTAAAATAAATTACTGAAAAGAATGGCATTGTTTTGTGTTTTTTAAATGTCCAATCTGTTTTTGCTTATTTAGTATCTTTAGCCACAATTCAGTACATTCTGCCTTTGGACGGCCAATAATAATTAACAACAGCTGACATTAACTAAGCACTTACATGATATATCCATCTCATTTAATCCTTGTAACAGTCCAATAAGGTACATATTATTACACCCATTAGAAAGATGAGACAAAGAGATAATGAGAAAGGATAACTAACTTGTCAAAAATCACATCAGTTGGATCAGTGTAGCAAGGATTCCAATTTCAATGCTCTTTCCCACTATGCTTTGTTAACCTTGAGTAGAGCATCATGTGATTGGGTATTCAACAATTAGCTGAAAATGATGGAGTCAAATTTACATCTAAAACTCACCAGAAGCTAAATCTATATTATTAATTTATGTCAATTTAATAGCTGGGAAATGAAGCTTCGTGGAGGTTATGGGCTAAGTTACGGCCCAAAATTCATATCTATCTTGGTCTACTTGAGCTGCCATAACAAAATACTAGAGACTGAGTAGTTATAAACAGAAGTTTATTGTTCACAGTCTGGAGGCTGGAAGTCCCAGATCAAGGTACTGGCAGATTAAGTAGTTGGTTAAAGGCCCATTCCCTGGTTCATAGATTGTGTCTTTTCACTGTTACTTCACGTGACAGAAAGGGTGAGGAAATCTCTGTGGAGTCACTTTTGTGAGAGAACTAATCCCACTGATGAAAGTTCCATCCTCATGACCTAAGCATTTCCCAGAAGCCCCACCTCATCATACCATCGCCCTGGGCATTAAGTTTCAACATGTGAATGGAGGGTGGGGAGGACACAAACATTCTAAATTATTACAGGGTCCTAACCCCTAGTACCTCAGAATGTGACCATATTTGGAGACAGGGTCTTTAAGGAGGTAATTAAGGTAAAATGAGGCCACTAGGGTGAGCCTAATCCAATATTACCTGTCCTTGTAAGAAGAAACTGGACACAGACGAGTACAGAGAGAGAAAAGCATGTAACAACAGGAGATGATCATCTACCAGCCAAGAGAGAGACCTCAGAAGAAACCAACCCATGATCTCGGACTTCTGGCTTCCAGAACAGTGAGAAAATTATTTTCTGTTTAAGCCACCCAGTCTGCGGTACTTTGTTACAGCACCCTAGCAAACAATAAAGTGAAGGAATCTGCCAAAGTTTGCTTTTAATTTTTAAATGAAATCTGTACTTAAAAAAAAACTAATAATGTCAAATTTTATGTCAAAATATCTTTCTTTTTTTATAGCTTATTTATTTTTGAGACAGAGAGAGACAAAGCACGAGTGGGGAAGTGGGGGGAGAGGGGGTGGGAGGGAGAAAGAGAGAGAGAGAGAGAGAGAGAAAATCTGAAACAGGCTCCAGGCTCCGAGCAAGCATTCAGCACAGAGCCTGATGTGGGGCTCGAATCCACGAACTGTGAGATCATGAGCTGAGCCAAAGTCGGACACTTAACCGGCTGAGCCACCCAGGCGCCCCATAAAATCAAAATCAATTCTAACGTTAATTAAGGAAAACTTTAGATAAAGTCACTAGACATATCAAATGACAGTCTAATCTACTCATGAAATTATTTTTGAGTTGCAGATGAACAATCTACATATGGCAAATTTAGGATGGAAAAAACTGAAAAACAGAATTTCGGTATCTCCTACCTAAGATTCTAAATCAAGGATTTAGAAACGAGATACCATAAAGAATAGCTAAGATTTATATTACTAGTATATAATCTAGTAATTATATATTTAATATAATTAAATATATTATATATTACATATAGTTATAATTACTATCATATAACAGTAATATGGAGATTACTATTATACTATACTATAATACTATTCTATACATGTTATATTATACTACACTATAATATTATACTATATTATAGTAATGGTTCAGAAGTACATAGCATATACATAAAGTCACAAAAGTATTTAATAGTTAATTATATCTCAAACTTTACTACTTAATGAGTCTGTTTCCAAACACTGCTCTCAATCACTTTTTATTAACTGCTTCCAAAAACCGCAACAGGTGCAGGAATAGATTGATGACATCCAAGTAGAGGCTGATGGCAGCTAATACATACTCTTCCGGTGACAGCCTGTGCATCAGGGAGTGTGTGTCATAGATGATGAATCCGCAGAAAAGAAGGGCTCCCACAGCAGCCAAGACCAACTCCACTGTTTCGCTATAGAAAAACAGCTATAGGCAAGATATTAAGAAATGTATACTTAAGAACAATATTAAGAATAAATACTTAGGTTACTTGCTCTAAAGTTACACAAGCTATATACATATTTAATAATGCTTTACAACTTTAAATACAAATGTTAAACATAGAAAAAGGCAAGGGAAGTCCATCTTCATCTCTGTTGGATGAAAGGATGAATGGGTGAATCAATGGATATCCTCCCGTCTATTAAATTACCCACCTGACCATGAACAGTAGTATTCCAAATACAAATTACTACTATTATTATTATTTAAATTTATTTTTGAGAGAGAGAGATAGACAGCATGAGCAAGGGAGGGTCAGAGAGAGAGGAAGACACAGAATCAGAAGTAGTCTCCAGGCTCTGAGCTAGCCCTCAGCAGAGAGCCCGATGCGGGGCTCGAACCCACGACTGGTGAGATCATGACCTGAGCCGACGTCAGACACTTAACTGACTGAGCCACCCAGGCACCCCTATATTATTGAAAAACATATTTCTTTTTCAGAATTTTATGTGCCAGTTGGAGGTGAGCAATTACAAGTCAGGGCCTCCTGTGTAATTTAACTCATATGTTCATCTTTCTTTCAATCAATGATATTGATTAACATAAGACCCTAGGTTTTTTAAAAGATAATTTTTAAATCATTCTACATATAAATGCTCCAAAAAATTATAACTAAGTATCCTAAGAGTACCTCTTATAGCTTTTCAAGATTATTTATACTGACATGGCCAGAATTATATTTCAAGTTATGATTTTAAAACAACTTACCTTCAAGATTCCTGACAAGCACAAAATCCACAAAACAGCAAACAGTCTATAAAAACAAAATATTAGTAATTGAGAATATTGTTCCTTACCAAAAAAACTATATAAACAGATGCAACATTTTCTGAAAAAAATAAATCCATCCTGACATTTGCCAAAGAATAAGTGAAATGTAAGAGTTCATATACAGGGGCGCCTGAGTGGCTTAGTTGGTTAAGTGTCCAACTCTTGATTTCAGCTCAGGTCATGATCTCACAGTTCGTGTGATCGAGCCCCTCATTGGGTTCTGCACTAACAGCGCAGATCCTGCATGGGATTCTCTTTCTCCCTTCTCCCAGACTTGTGCTCTCTCTTTCTCTCTCTCTCTCAAAACACATAAACTTAAAAAAGAGTCCATTAGGGGCGCCTGGGTGGCTCAGTCGGTTAAGCGTCCGACTTCGGCTCAGGTCATGATCTCACGGTTCGTGGGTTTGAGCCCTGCGTCAGGCTCTGTGCTGACAGCCAGCTCAGAGCCTGGAGCCTGTTTCAGATTCTGTGTCTCCCCTCTCTCTCACCCTCCCCTGCTCATGCTGTCTCTCTCTCTCTCTCCGAAATAAATAAAACATAAAAAAAAAGAGTTCATTAACATACAACGAATACTGTAGAGTACTCAGAAATTGGAAAAACAGTCATCAATTCAACATTTGTATTTATGGTGAACAAAACTAGATGCAAGTACCATTTTTGAAGTTTTCAATTGGAACACCAAAAAAAAATACTGATATAAGCAGAAATATCATTAGAAGCATTTTAAGCCAGAAACCTATAAAACTTCTAGAACAATGAACAAATGAAACATAACTGTATTTTTAAACCAACGGTATCATATTAGTCTGTGAATATGCATACCTATTAAGTTCCCAATGTACTCCGTATTTTATTCTAATGTATTATAGAACTTACTTTATGCACATAAATTTACCACTGCTATAATTTTATGAGTTACCATTCGTATTATATATGATGTATAATGATGTGTTATAATATAAAGTATAAATATATGACAAAGGACATCTAAAGGAGTCAATCCTTTGTTATCAAATATGCAGTGTGTATCAAATACACATCTGCTGCTTTAGGTCACAAGGAAGTACTGGGGTCAAATTTACCCTTCCTCCTTAAATAAATAACACACCAAACATGAAATAATGGTTTCCAGGGCCTGAACAGCAACCAGCATGGCACAGTAATTCCTGAGAAAAGGGAAACAAAGGAGGTAAGCTCTAGAAGTGAACCAGCAAGAAAAGAGTTTCCAGACCACAGTGGAGGGACAAGAACCCATATGAAGCACTCTGGTCTCCCTCAATTGAGGAGGTGAGAATTCAGAGATCAGAGAGGTCTAGTCCACATGGCTACAATTCACAGAGCAAAGTTCCAGAAAGGAGAGAGCTATACAGAGAGCTGGTTAGCTCTGGCGATATGCAGGATTCCCTTTAAGTCCTTAGCTAAGCACAGATCAGGGCGTGCACATGAGGAACTGGCAAAGGCTGGGGAAGGAGAGGCAGCCAGAACAATCCTCAGAGCCCAGACAGAAACAGTTCGCCCTACTCAGCGTGGAAAGACCTCCTAAGACGTGAGGCTTTGGATAATTCTTACAAAGGGACTGTCTCCACAGTGGGACCAAATTAGCCTTAATCGCTGCTCTGGACCCACCTACCAGGGCTTAAAAACAAGCCATTTCCAAGGAACTTAGTAGCTTCAGAGAAGGATAAAACCAAAGATATTTAAAGGAAAAAAAAAATCGGCACCCAACAATATAAAATTTACAAGGACCAGTATCTAATAAAAAATTAAAAGGCACGCAAAAGAACCAGGAAATGTGACCTATAACAATGAGAAGAATCAATCAATAGAAACGAATTAGGAAATAACAATGATAGAATTAGTAAATGACATTAAAAATATATATATTCCATATGTTCAAGGAGTTAGAGCAAAACATCACATGAGAAAACAAATGGAAGATATGTATTTTAAGACACAAATGGAACTGAATTTCCATAAATAAAAAATATGTCAAATGAAACATATTCTGGGAGGAATTAACTGCAGATTAGACACTGAAGAAGAACAGATTATCAAATTAAAAGTAGCAACAGATATGAACCAAAATGGGTCACAGAGAGAAAACGGAGGAAAAAAAAAGAAAATAAACCAAGGATCCATGAATTGCGGGACATCAAGAAGCCTCACATATATGCTCAAGTCTCAACAGAGAAGGGGACGCATAAAAATGTTTGAGGTAACAGTTCCTGAAAATGTTCCAAACATGATGAAAATGTTAAACTGACAATCCCAGCAGAAGAAACATGAGAAAACCACACCAAGGAGTATCATAATCAAATTACTGAGAAATGTTAATCAAATAACTGAAAATTACTGAGAACACACTAAAAGTAGCTAGAGGATAAAAGACATTATGTACAGAGGAACCAGGATACCAAAGAGGGAAGACTTCTTGTCAAGAACTACATGAACCAGAGGACTGTGGTATATCTTATGAAATACTGAAAACAGAAAAAAAGGAAAATCACCCAAACCTAGAATCCCACACCCTGTAAAAAGAATGTTTAAAAACAAAGGTGAAAAAAGATTTTTTTCAGACATGCAAAAGCTGAGTTCAAGAGAACAGCACTGTAAGGAATATTAAAAGGAAACTGCACAGGCAGAAGGAAGATATAAGATGGAAGTCTGGATCTACACAAAGAAATGGAGAACAAAATTGACAAATGTGTGGGTGAACATAAAAGATTTCATGTATTTTTAAGTCTCTTTAAAGGATAATTTAATGTTTTGAACAAAGATAATAATATTTTATGAAGTGTGTAAAATGTGGAATTAAAAGTTACCGTAACAATAGCACAAAGGCAGGGGAGAGGAGATGTTAAGTTTGCTAGACAGGAAATGGCATATTACTTAGAGGTAGATGATGATGATGACTTAAAGATGTGTACTGTAGGGGCCCCTGGCTGGCTCGGGTGGTAGATGGCAAGACTCTTGATCTCGGGGTTGTGGGTTCAAGCTCCATGGTTGGTGTAGCGATTACTTAAATAAATTGTAAAAATGTGGAGTAAGAAGAAAACAAATAAATAAACCATAAAGCCTAGAGCAGCCCCTACTTAAAAGAGCTATAGCTAATAACTAATAAAGGAGATAAATCAAATAATCCGAAGGAAGAAAAGAAAAAAAGGCACAAAGGGCAGGACAAACAGCAAGAAAACAAATGATAAGATAATAGGCTTAAATCCAATCAGATCAATAATCACATTAAGTGTCAGTAGTCTAAGTACTCCAATTAATAGCAGAGATGGTCAGATTGGATTAAAAAAACAAAAAAAAAGCAAGACCCAACCATATGCTGCCTGTAAGAAAACTACTTTAACTATAAAGCCACAAATAAGCTAACAAAGGAGGAAAATGGTATACCATGCTAATACAATTAAAAGAAAGCTGAGGTAGGTGTCCTGATAAAGTAGACTTTAGGGAAAAGATATTACCAGAGATAATGACTTCAGGGTAATAAAAGGGTCATCAAGAGGACATAACAATCCTAAATGTTTATGCATCTAAAAACAGAACTTCAAAGCAACACGAAGCAAACCTTACAGATATGATGAGAGAATGATACTCTAATCTGTACTTGTAGTTGGAAATTTCAATACCACTTTGATATTAACTGATAGAATAAGCACACTGAAAAGATTAGTTAAGCACACAGAAGACTGACACAACACTATCAATGAATGTGACTTAACCGACATTCGTCAAACACTGATCCAACAGCAACAAAACATACGTTCTCTTTTAGTGCACAAAGAACATTTACTAAGTATCGTAAGACGAATCTCAATAAATACTTAAGGACTGAAACCATGCAAAATATGTTATTTAACAACAAAATAAAATCAGATATTAAGTATATAATAGTATCATAATCCAGTGTGGTGAACTGAGGGCATGGTGAGATTCTAGCTCTCAATTCTCTTGCTGGAATAGGCACAAAATGTCTACAGAGACATCTGGAATACCTAGGTTAGAATGAAGTATCATAACAGCACATAGTATAGATCCTTCAGGATTGAGATGGGCTCAGAGCTTAATTTTTCATACTTGAACCTTTGGAAACCCCAAAGCTTCTGCACCAAGGAGTACAGGGAAGGTGGTATTAAGAACTGTAAAGCATCTGAGGTTTCACCTGACTCAATAAGCTAATAAGGTGGTCTGGCACAATTCCATGGATGCCCATAGAAAACTGGAGACCCCTAGGTCTGATACGAAGGAGTTTAATACAGCAATAGCAACTGCAGAAGAACAAGCACAGCAGATTGGTGTTGTCAGAGCAGAGAAATGAGACAGCTAATAGAAGGCTGAAGAAAGAAAGTGGGACACTGGCATTTAAGATTTCTTCAGTGGAACAATCCCTAGTGATGACAAGGTCCACAGGGTAACCATGGCAGGGAGATGAAAAGTTGCTGAAGAAGAGGTCCAGACACACTGAGAAGCTAAGGTGATAGATGAGCCTAACATATGGTTCGATGCTAGAGTCTAAGTAACAAGGAAGGCTTGGGGTGCCTGGCTGGCTCAGTAGGTAGAGTATGAGACTTTGATCTTGGGGGTGTGAGTCTGAGCCCAATGCTGTGTATAGCAATAACTTAAAATAATAAAAAATAAAAAGAATGAGGAAGGTTTGAACAAGGGGAATCAGTGGCAATAATGAGAAAATGATGAAGATTAAGGAAGTGTGTAGCCGGACAACATAAGCCTTAAAGCAATGGATTTCCAGCACACTAGAAAAATAATGAAAGCAGCACCAGAGGATTGAAGCAGTTGTCAATACTGACCCCCCCATCCAAACTGCATAGGGTATGTGAGAATGAGCAGCTAGAGAACAATGTTTTCAAGGAGGAATCAAGTTTCAGCTAAAGTAAGAAAAATCTATTATGAAGAGGCTGAAACAGAAGTAAGATCATCTACCAGAATGGAATTTCTAGAGACTATACTAGAACAGATGGGAGACAGGGCGCAGATGGAGACTGGCATGAGAAGCAGACAGCAAATCTTTCATCATATATACCACATGAGTATGTATCCCCTCCACAGCACTAAAAGCAGGAAATGGAAACAATGTCGCCTGTAAATCCGACTCCATTCTAATACAATGATTTAAGCATCTTGCACAATTGTCAGTGTTGGCTGACCAATTACATTTTATCCCAATAGAGATTTCTGGTAATCTGGATTTCCAGGGGGACAGAAGGGGATGAATAAATGTTTTGCCACAGTAGACTTTTGTAAACTTCAATGCTGTAACAGGAAAAAGAACAGAAGATGCCTGGGTGGTGATATGCCAACAGGAAGCTATTATGAGCTTAGAAAAGGGTATGTGTATTCTTACCAGCTGAGGGCAACACTGTACTATTATCTTAATATAAAATATCATCCCATATATTTATTAGTTTGACGAAAAATACAGGTTAATCTAGATAGGTCATAAAGTTTTTAATGTTCATGCAGATATCACCAACACCTGGGTCAATTATCTTGCTTCTGCCACAAAGAAATGAGTGGATGGTCTTGGTAACAATCATGTTAAGATAAAGGCCTAAATAATTTAGTAAGGTCCATACATTCATAGAGCATACAAGCCTACTCTCTCTAGAAAACTGTTTTTTTTTTTTTCTTTTTTTCTTTTTTTGGCATTCCCTTTCCTTTCAATATAGAGCAGAAGCAAATGACTCGAAGCCACTTTCCGTCTCCTTGTATGTTCTGGGAGTAGAGCCTGGCCTTAATACTCAGAGAATGACCTCCTATCACCCTCCATTTTAGAAGGCAGTATCCCAAGCTAACAATATAGCACTTACCTTAGGACAACCTATAATGCTAAGGATATTTATCTACCATAGTCATGAATATATAACTTACCCTGCTCCAAATTTGCTGAAATCTCTCTTAGATTGTAGAGTATATACAGTCAAACCAAGAAATACAGCAGTGGTCAGTATGAATGCTTGCAGAACAATATATATGTCATATAAAGTAACTGTAAAATTAAAAAATACTGATTAAAAACGCACTTAAACACACTCAATTTTAAACAGCGTTTTCCTCTGGCATTTAGCAGAAATGCTGTATTTTCTTCAGTACTACTCGCCAATAAAAACAGCAGACGCTTTACTCAGCCTTGAATAAAAGTAAAACCACACCCATGCTGCAATAAACAGGCTCCAAAATACTCATTCATACGAAATAAGAGGGTTGCATAAATATGAAGTTAAAGAAACAACTGGAGAGCTATGACGTGGCTAGGTGGTTTAGAATTTGGGGGATATGGTGGATTGGCTCTCACCCATTTCTGTCCCAGCTGAGTTTTACCACGATCTGTGGTGCTTGTCCTTTATGACTTAAATATCAATAGGGTCCTGTGGCTGACTGGGAATTCCTGGGCGGCAGCAGCAATTCTAGCAATCACCTGGTTAATCACATACCCAGTTCATCAGCCCAAATCAAAGAAACTAGGCAAGGAAAAATATTGGGACTGTCTGCAATTGTCCACTATTCATCAACCCCACAGAGAATAGGAACCAACCACTAACTGCGTTTTAGCCCAGTCCGCATTGTCTTGGGATACATAATTGGGGGTTTCCTGAATATATACCAAATTCCCTTCCGAAATTTTAGAATGAACATCTGGATTGACTATGGTTATTGTAATTATAACACAATTGCTTAAGGTTTCAACAAAATACTAAATTATAACCCCTTTAAAGGAAGTTAAGTACTTTCAACCAAAACCATTAAAGTAATTTTTAATTTTTTAGGGATTAATTTCATTTCCTAAATACTACATTACTAGAATTTCTCTATTTCTGCCATTACAGGATCAGGAAGGTGAATGCAGAAAAGGAAAATCATGAAGTTATTTTGCTTCTTGTCAACAATTTCAGTGTAAGATTAGATGGAAAGGATATTATAATAAGGAAAATAAAGTTCTCAGATTATCCCACCTATGGATGTCTATCCCCTATTCCAATAAGCATGAAATAAGAAATCTCTCTCCTATATCCATTACACATGGTGGGAGCCAGGGAGGACAGAAATGGACATGATAATAACATTAATAGATAGTAACATTAATAACAAGTAAATATTGGGGTGCCTGGGTGGCTCAGTTAAGCATCCAACTCTTGATTTCGGCTCAGGTACAGTCATGAGATTAAGCCCCGCACAGGGCTCTGTGCTAAACAGGGAGCCTGCTTAAGGTTCTCTCTCCTCTCCCTCCACCCCTCCCCTGCTTGCTCGTGTGTGTGCGTGTGCACGCTCTCTCTCTCTCTCAAAATATAACAAATTTAAGAGATAATTTTAAAAATAAGAAAGGTTCTACCAAAAAACATATTAAGTAAATATTAATAATACTTCCTTTAAAAAATTTTTTTAATGTTTTATTTATTTTTGAGAGACATTGCAAGTGGGAGAAGGGCAGAGAGACAGAGAGGGAGACGCAGAATCGGAAGGAGGCTCTAGGCTCTGAGCTGTCAACACAGAGCCCGACGCAGGGCTTGAACCCATAAGCTGTGAGATCATGACCTGAGCCGAAGTCGGACAGTTAACTGACTGAGCCACCCAGGCGCCCCAAAAATACTTCTTTTCTACGTTGAGAAATTTCAATCCTATTTATTTTAGTAGATATTATTTACTTATATTGATTCCTTTAAAAAAGAAACAAGTGAATTACCAAACAATATGTAGATTCAATAAAACTGGCTTAGAAAGATTAAGAGCAGTAACGACAAAATAGGAAAAGACAAATATATTAAGCATAATGATTAACAATTTACTATTATTGTAAATATATTATTTCTAACTTCTTTGGTACCCTAGGTTAATCATTTTGAAATTATCAGAAGTTTTATTATTAATAAATCATGGAATTTTTTACTTGAGGCATTACAAATGATACATCAAATAATTATGATTTCTTTTTTATTTAAACAGACACTTCTTTCAAACACATATTCAACGCCAATTGAAAAAGAGAAACTATCAAGTTTCTTATAGTGCCAAATATGATGTAATAATGAAGCACAGTTCAGTGCAGCAATTTGAGAGGCTCAGCTCATGTGATGAAAATACGTGGCTCAAAATATATTTTATCAATTCCTCTAAGGACCCTTTAAATTAGGGAAAAGATTAGCTATTCTTGTTTTCTATAAATAGATAAATACACATGAATATTGTTCTCCTTTCCTGTTGTTTTCTTAACTCTTTTCCACCTCTTATAAGCTTAGTTGAACTACATCAAGTATAAACATTTAATTTTGCTTATATTTTTTAGGAATTCTTCATCCTATGCTATATATTTGAAATATGACATTCCATGATATTAAGCTTTAGTCCCAAACACTCTTTTACCCAAAAGATTTATCGCATTAAAAAGTTACTGTAACATAAGAGAAGCAGAATTATGGCTTACCAACAAAGGCCAGAGACAGAGCTTCGAATAGTGTCTAAAAAAAGAAGCTAAAATTACACAGATGCACATAAAATTTACACTAAATCAAGTACATACTCTAATTTTCTAAGAGTTTAAACGGATTCCATGTTTATGATCTCATTCTAGCTTCAGAGCAGCCTTGTGAATTATACGGGTCATTTGGTAAGCCCACCATAGTGAAAATGAGACATCAAGGGCACCTGGCTTGCTCCATTGGAAGAACACGTGACTAGTGATCTCAGGGTCGTGAATTCAAGCCCCACATTGGGGAGATTACTTACATAAATAAAGCTTAAAAAAAAAAAAAAAAGAAAGAAAATGATACCTCCAAGTATTGAGTAGGAGTATTTAGATTCTAACAGTGATCCTCAAACCCTAACTAGATTTTTCTTATCTGTAACAGGAACATTTGGAAATAGTATGGGAAATTCCATTTTTCGCACTCTCTGGAAGTAAAAATGAAATTATAAATGCTGTGCCCATTCATAAAAACTTCAGTGTGGCACACACACACAGGAAGAATAAAATATTTAGGGAGCGCTTTGGTGTGGCAGTCCTGAAACCGTCTCCCAGTATTCATTCTCTCCTTCCCCAGTAACAGAATTTCTACCTGGACACACAGCTGTTCAGATTAAACATCACATTTCTCAGCCTCCCTTGTAGCCGGATGTGGCCATAGGACTTTATTCTAGCTAGGAGAATGTGAGGAGAGAGATGTACAACTACTAAAAGCAAAGGGGCTTGCTCTTCCCATTCTCTTCTCATTTTTTTTTTTTTGTTTGTTTTTAATAACTGGATGGAATGTGGATATGGTGGTGAGCTACCTTATCCACACAATACTAAAGGAGTACTTGAACCGCAGCAGGTGTCTGGGCCCCTGACAACTTCACTAAACAGTCATGCAGAGTTTTGTGTGGAAGAGAAGTAAACCATCTTATTTCCTCCATGTCACATGTAGCTGAACTCATATCCTAAATACAAGATATGGGGACATTGAGTTTTATCCTCTAGCTTCTCCTTCTCCTTAGCTACATACCTTTGTTTTGTTCTACATGCATACTCTAGTTAGATTTTACCAACTATGTGATAGACTGTATCACAAAGGCAAAGCCAGAAATAACGGCAGTGCCTGTATACTCGTAGTCCTGGTAGAAGCACTCCCTGTAACTCTCCCTATATGGAATCAAGAAATCTTACAGAACCAGAAACTTGACAATAAAATATTAAAAAAAAAAAAAAGAAATCTAACAGAACCAGAGCAAAAATGGCATCAGAAATGTACACAGATGTGGAGGCAATGAAGCCACTGCCCCATTTTGTTGTAATGCTGTTGTTGGTGTTAGGAAAGTGGTAGCAAAAATTGATAGTAATATTTTTTTTCTAGGAAAATATGATTATACCACTTTCCTGATACTTGTCACATGACTTTAGGTAAGAAATCCTACCCCGTACTCAAGTATCCAAAGAAAACAAGACAGTGTGACAGGAGAAAAGAGAAGACTAGGAAAACATAACACCACCCCAAAATAATGGCTCCTTTTAAGTATGTGGACGTGAACACACACATACACACCTTCTAAAACAAGATAAGATCCACCTTCTTTTCTACTTTGGTAGAACAGGACACAGTAGCCTGGTATCAGAGGTCTCTGAATAATCTGAAATGTATTATATAAGTCTCCTTAGCTGTTCACCCATTTTTAGCTACGGGTATAGGAGGAAGTAACCATCTTGCCCACAAGCATTTGGCTAATGGGGAATGTAGGTCCTCTCTCTTCTGGACAAAAGTTGGTCCATGCCAGATAGAAATCAAACACAGTCTTTTTGAAAGGAGCCTAGCTTTTTATAAAGTTGAAGAGGAACTCCATATGGCAGTTTCTTTTTATGCCCCTCCCTTTCTCCTAGGACAAAGATGACTGGGAAAGGAGTTGGCATCTAACCCAAGGGCTCCCAACCCACATACTGGTTAACAACCTACAGTGTGAACTGTGCCAATAATAACCTGTGTCAATCAGACTCTTTCTCACTTAGGAATCTAAACCTAGAGAATGAAGTAATGGCAGCAGGAGCTAAAGTTAAAGGTTAACGAACCATATGAGGGCCCACAATGCACCATATAAAAACTAAAGACAGCAGGGGCACCTGGGTGGCTCAGTCGGTTAAGCATCTGCTCTTGATTTCAGCTCAGGTGGTGACCTCACTGTTCCTGAGTCAGACACCCTCATGGGGCTCCGTGCTGACAGTGCAGCTAACAGTGCAAACCCTGCTTGGGCTCCTCTCTCTCTTCTCTCTCTGCCCTTACTCTGCTTGCTCTCTCTCTCAAAAATAAATAAATAGATTTTTAAAAAAAAAAACCACTAAAGACAGCAAAGACGAAAATTATGTGTAAGGACAGCTGTAAAGTAGAGAAGAGATTTAATAGAAGGGGGAAGAGGGGTGCCTGGGTGGCTCAGTCAGTTAGGCGTCCCACTTTGGCTCAGGTCTTGATCTTGCGGTTCATGAGTTCAAGCCCCCACGTTGGGCTCTGTGCTGACAGTTCAGAGCCTGGAGCCTGCTTCAGATTGTGTGTGTGTGTATGTGTGTGTCTGTGTGTGTGTGTGTGTGTGTGTGTGTGTGTCTGTCCCTCCCCTCCCTGCTTATGCTCTGTCTCTCTCTCTCTCAAAAATAAATAAATATTGAAAAAAAATTAAAAACAGATAGAAGGGGAAGAGACTCCCAATTCTTGCTCTGAATTTCCTACAATAGCATCATTCCTAGAAATCTACCTCTAGAGTTCCTTGTCTACTTAAGGCCCCTTCTTGGTGGGTTCCCAAGTTCTTATAAACTTCACAGTACTTGAGATAACTTGGGTTAGGGTTCTGATACTTGGCAAACAAAAGAAACTAAGATTTAAATGAATAACCTTTCTTATAATTGAAATTTCCAAAGTCACGAGGTTTCTTTCATCATAGTAACATAAACTTGTTACCGGAATTCACAAACTTCCTTCAGTTTAAAGTATTTTAATCTGGTAAACAGCATTTTCATTCGGATTTGGCTATAAAATTAATATTAGTTTGAAGTGTTTTGAAGTAAATTTTTAGGTTAGAACCCAAAGTCCTACTGGATATGAGAACAAGAAAAATAATTTAAAAGATATATAACTTGAGGCTTACAACTCATTCTGGTCATATTATAGGATTGGATTTTCATAGGTTGTAGTTTGGGTTTTAATTTTCACAAACATCTAAACAAACAGCCTAAAGTTAAGTTCCCCAATTATGATATTTATTTATTTATTTATTTACAAACAGCCTAAAGTTAAGTTCCCCAATTAAGATATTTATTTATTTATTTATTTTGAAAGAGAAAGAATAAGCAGGGGAAGAGCAAAGAGAGAGTGAGAGAGAACCCCAAGCAGGCTCTATGCTGCCAGTGTAGAGCCTAACGCTGGGCTCGAACTCATGAAATCCAAGAGACTGTGACCTGAGCTGAAATCCAAAGTCAGACACTTAATTGACTAAGCCACTCAGGCTCCCTCCTCACTATGATTTTAAAACAAATTAGTAGAGCACATCAATTGAGCAAAATGGTCCTTTAAAAGAACAGAGTACTAAGATAAAAATAACACTGAGAGGGCGCCTGCGTGGCTCAGTTGGTTGAATGTCCGACTTTGGCTCAGGTCACAATCACATAGTTCGTGAATTCAAGCCCTGCATCGGGCTCTGTGCTGACAGCTTGGAGCCTGGAACCTGCTTTGGATTCTGTGTCTCCCTCTCTGCCTTTCCCCAACTCATGCTTGCTCTCTCTCTCTCTCTCTCAAAAATAAACATTAAAAAGAAATTAAAAAATAAACAGCACTGAGGAGTTAATCATAAAGATTTCAAGTCTATGAAATTCAGGCTATAATTTTTTTCTCAAGAAAATCACAGAATATTAGGGGTGCAAAGTATCACAGGGATAATCTACTCTAATATTTTCATTTTATATATGAGCTAACTAGGTACGGAAAGGCTAAAAACCCTGCCAAATGTCACATAACCACATTGGTAGAAAAGCCAAGTCATGAGATTCCAATTCACTATTCTTTTCCACCATATCATAATATTGACAGAAAAAAACAAAACAAAAAACCCTCAAAAGTTTGAACCTGACAAAGGTTAAAAATTTTAAAGACTAGAAAGTTACATGTAATTTCCTAAAATACTTGAATTTATTAAAAAACTGATTACTTTTGTTTTGCTACTATATGTACTTGCACTCAATGAAATAAAGAAAGTTAAGACACAAGAATAAATGTTAAAGTAACAGATACTGCCAAAATACTCACGAATCCAAAAAGCAGGTACAGGTTAAGGGGATGCTTATGTCTGTTTACGGTCAATGCTAAAATCAAACCCAAAGATCCAAGGGCAAACACCACAATTAAGGCAGGACTGAAAGATAAAATTAGAAGCATTTTTAAGCTTAAAAACAGAAGAAATAGTATTAACCAATATAATAAAATCTGTCTGTTGCATTTGTGTATTTGTGGTGTGGAAGGAACTGCACCAAACTGTCAAAAGAAACTATTTTTCTGTTCAGGGAATATGAGGGGTGTGAGCAGGGGATGAGCAGCGGGACAAAGAAAAGAGCCTATAATGAACGGGGAGCACTTTTCCTTTTGACTTCGTGAACTTCTATCATATTTGTGTATTTTTGCAATTAGCATAGTGCTTTTTAAAACTGAAATAAGGAATAGCTATTAAATAATAAACAAATTTTATGTACACTTACTATACAGCTGTAATTTCAATTAAAGAACTTTACCTCAAATAACAAACTAATGTTTTTGCAGGGGAAGTGATGATAGAAATTGTCTGCTTCCAAGACAATATTCATTCTTTCTTTTTCTTTCTTAATGTTTTACTTATTACAGAGAGAGACACAATATGTGAACAGGGAAGGAGAGAGAGAGAGACACAGAATCTGAAGCAGGTGGCAAGCTATCAATGCAGAGCTTGACGTGGGGCTCAAACTCACCAACTGTGAGATTATGACCTGAGCTGAAGTTGGACGCTGAAATGACAGAGCCACCCAGGTGCCCATATTTTTCCTTTAATATGAAAAAACTTCTATAACTTTTAGCCATGGAAATAATTATTTTGGAGGTCAAATCTTTAACAAATTAGGGATGAACTATATGAAGCTCCTTTGGAAATTTCTCAGTGAAATTATACTAGTCATGATCCAACACCAAGACAAATTAAAGACTCCTTTATTTAAAGTACCTTATTCTTTAAGCATTGTCTTAGGCTTTGGGGACTGCGCATAAGTATAATAAAAGCAAAAATAAATTAAATTTAAAAACTCCATACAGTGGGGGCGCCTGGGTGGCTCAGTTGGTTAAGTGACTGACTCTTGATTTTGGTTGAGGTCGTGATCTCGTGGTTTGTCAGTTCGAGCTCCGTATCAGGCTCCGTGCTGACAGTGCCAAGCCTGCTTGGGATTCTCTCTCTCTCTCTTTCTCCCAAAATAAATAAATAAACTTAAAAAAAACCTGCATACAGTAAAAATTCTTAATACTATTTCAGGAGATGAAAGTTTAACCCTATAAAACTGTAAGCTAAAAGGTTCAGAGGTAAATATCATGTTGCAGAACATTTCCCTTATCAAAACTAGTCTTATTTACAAAAGTTAATAATGAACCATTTTTACATTCTAACCTCAGAAGTTAATGGAGAAAAAAAGGGAACTTTGCTTATAATATGCCCTTTTGTTCATAAGCAGCAGCTAAAAATGACTGAAAATCATCTTATCACCTTACCTCTCATGTACAAATGTCCGTATAGACTCAAAGTATATAAAAAATGAAGATGTCACTGTAGTTAAAAGAACTTGCAGAGAAAGGATGGCGTAGACTTTTCTTAGAAAGGCTGAAAAAGAAAATAATTACACATGATGGTATTCTTGAGCATTTATCACAGAATGGCAGGATCAGATATGTTCTTACAAACATTATTTTTTTTTTCAAAATTGTTTTTTGAACATTCATTTTTGAGAGACAGAATGGGAGCAGGGAAGGGTCAGAGAGAGAGGGATATACAGAATTCAAAGCAGGCTCCAGGCTCTGAGCTGTCAGCAGGGAGCCTGATGCAGGGCTCGAACTCACAGGCCGTGAAATCAAGACCTGAGCTGAAGTCAGATGCTTAACCGACTGAGCCACCCAGGCGCCCCAGAAACATTCAAATTTTATACATAATCTTTAAATCTGAATCCAAATAATGTAGTCTGGAACTTAAACTAAAAACAAAAACAGAAAATACTTCCAAAGAAATCACAAATTTTAAGTGATAACTATCCTTCAAGAAGCAGGAGTCTAAAAAAAATAAACAGGCCAGAATAAAAATGTTTTCAACAATGGGTGTCCTTGGGGTGCCTGGGTGGCTCAGTCAGTTAAGTGTCAGATCTCGGCTCAGGTCATGATTTTGCAGTTTGTGAGTTTGAGCCCCACACTGGGCTCTGTGCTGACAGCTCAGAGCCCGGAGCCTGCTTTGGATTCTGTGTCACCACCTCTCTCTGCCCCTCCCCCTCTCACACTCTGTCTCTCAATAATAAATAAAACGTTAGGGGCACCTGGGTGGCTAAGTGGGTTAGTGTCCGACTTTGGCTCAGGTCATGATCTCACAGTTCGTGGGTTCGAGCCCTGCGTCGGGCTCTGTGCTGACAGGTAGCTGACAGCCCGGAGCCTGTTTCAGATTCTGTACCTCCCCCTCTCTCTGACCCTCCCCTGCTCACGCTGTCTCTCTCTCTCAGAAATAAATAAAACATTAAAAAATTAAAAAAAAAACGTTAAAAAGAATTAAAAAAGAATAGAAACAAACAAACAAACACCAATGGGTGGCCTGGCCGGTTCAGTAGGTTGAGTATGTGACTCTTGATCTCAGAGTTTTTTAAGTTCAAGTCCCATGTTGGGCATAGAGCTTACTTAAAAAAGAAAAAGAGAAAGAGAAAGAGAAAGAAAAAGAAAAGATAATGTTTTCATCAAAAGAAAGTATGAAACACTATTTATACACAGCAGCATAAACAAAGCAAAAGATTAAAAACAGAACATATCTAAACAACAAATCTATCTTGAAACTGAAAAGCAGGAATAGAAAGCATATGGCTAGATACAAATTAAAAAAAAATCTTAATTTCCAAGCAGTACAAACGTTTCCTCAAAATAAAACTTATCCTTAAAAGGCAAATAATACATAAATTTACTTTCACTCATATACTTTTATTTCTCACTTATAGTACCTCTTCCTCTAGTTTCTATACAGTAAGAAATTCTTACTTTCAAGATACTTTATTATTAACATCCATAAATAATCTCCAAGTTCTAATGATGTAAACACTTAGTAAAGTCATCTGACATGCAGATGATATAGGTAACACAGTGAATCCCCAACTCACCACCAGTTTCAGAAATAAACACTAAGAGTTTCCACCTCCTGTATGTACACAGACTGATAGAATAATAACATCCTTCTCTCCTCACCCCTGTAGCTGCAATCATCTTTCAAGATTCAGCCTTGATCATTTCCCCCATCAGAATTAAATGTTCCTCCTCCTGTTCCCGAGGAGCCCTAAAGAAACTTCTAATTGCTTCATATAATTAATAAGCCTACTAGCCCTTCACTCCCATCCCACTATAGAGACTAAAAATCTCCCTAATAATAGGGAATATGACTCACTCATTTTTATACCCCAAACAACCAGCAAAGTGCATGGCACACAATAAATACTCATTACATTTTATTGGCTTTTACGAATTTATGAAAGGTAAATTCTGCCACTCAGGGAAGAGAAAAGGTATTATTCTAAAACAACAATGGAGGGGTGCCTGGGTGGCTCAGTCAGTTAGGTGTCCGACTTCAGCTCAGGTCATGATCTCATGGTTCGTGGGTTCAAGCCCCGCGTCAGCTAGCTCAGAGCCTGGAGCCTGTTTCAGATTCTGTGTCTCCCTCTCCCTCTGACCCTCCCCTGCTCATGCTATCTATCAGAAATTAAAAAAAAAAAAGAAAAAGAAAAAAAAGAGTATTAAAAAAATAAAACAACAATGGAGCCACATAACTTACATAGAGCATTGTGCTTAGGTAGGCAATAAAACCACTGCTGGCCCCCTTTTTTCCCAACAAAACAAGATGAAACATTGTCTCTTGCTTCTCATGACCATACTCATACAATAAATGTCACCTCTGAAAAGAATTCTTACTATAGACCTGGCTTCCCAACTAAGGATGAAGTGCTTTGACAGCATGTAAGCCAAATATTAAATAATAATAATAGGAAATTTTCATAAATACCAAGATTTAATCCTTAAAATGATCCCACCTTAAATCTTAACGTTTCCCTCTGATACCTAATCCAAAATAGACCGTGAGTTTTTCCTAATGTCTTTTTTTTTTAAAGATACAGTTCTTTTTTTTTTTAATTTTTTTAAATGTTTTATTTATTTCTAGGAGAGAGAGAGAGAGAGACAGCGTGAGCAGGGGAGGGTCAGAGAGAGAGGGAATCACAGACTCTGAAGCAGGCTCCAGGCTCTGAGCTGGCAGTCAGCACAGAGCCCGATGCGGGGCTCAAACCCACGAACCACGAGATCATGACCTAAGCGAAAGTCGGACACTTAACTGACTAAGCCACCCAGGCGCCCCATCCTCATGTCTTTAACAGGTTGTACTGAACATACAATTTAGCCAATGACTCAGTAACACTACCGGTTGTATTTTGTCCTACGTGTAGGCATGATGTATCTTTCAGGAAACTGCTCATCTCTACCACAGATCTACAACTTCCTTTCTTAAAAAGGGCCTGATGCTTGCATGCTGTACGAGGTTATTTCCACTTTTTTCACAAAAGCAAGTTAAAGCATATATTACTGCCACGGACAATGTTATTTGGGCCATCTTCCTGTGAACTTAATTACTAAACCAAAGGCCACACTATTATTCCCTCAAGGGATTTTCCAGACTCAAAAAAAAAATCATATTCTTTAATTTTGATACCATATTAGGTACCTCACCTAACTCAAACCCATTCCCTGTATTTTCTCAATTAAGCAGTGAAAGTTAACGTTAATCTTTACCGTTTGATGGAACTGTTCTACAGGTCAAAATAGTGTGCTTAATGTTTATTTGTATGTGCGTGTTGGTGCACAAGTACATATGAAATAAAAGTATACACTGAGGTGTTAATAATGATTTTTCTCTGAGCAACATGAGTGAGGAGGATTTTCACGTTCAGTTCCTTGCTAATCTGCGTTGTTTTTCTTTATCACCAATAAATATTTTTTACTTTTGTAATGGAAAAACATTTTAAAGAAACCTTGCAGGGGTGCCTGGCTGACTCAGTCAGTAAAGTGTGTGACTCTTGATCTTGCAGGTGTAAGTTCAAGCCCCATGCTGGGTGTAGAGATTACTTAAAATCTTTCTTTAAAAAATAAACTTGTGCTAAGCCAGTAAATTCATCATAAAAATAATCCTTATGCTCACAATCACAGCTTTTCTCTACCCCTTAAAAAAAGAATCTTAAACCAAATCCAAAGAAAAAGCAACATTTGACACCCATTTTGAGTAACTAACCTAAAACACGGCAAAGGCTATACACACTCAGCTCACACAGAAAAATAAAAGAGCCAGCAGGAAAAGAATATAAATCAAATAGCAATTATCTTCCAATTTATTTTTGAAGCCTGATATCTCCCCCTTCTACTTTTATTTCCCCCCTTTCTACTCAAACTTAACACGGCCAAAACAGCAACTCTTCATTTCTTCGCGGTTCTGTCTGTCCTTCTCCCAAGACTTCTCCTCCGTAACCAGCACCAACAGCCCCCACACCAAAAATGTGGACATCGTGTCTGATTCCCCTCCCTCCTCCCAACCCATCCACAACTACTGGAGCTGCTCTTCACAAAGTACAACATGTCCAACCACTACCCCTGCAGTCAGAGTCGGTCTGATATCTCACCTACTCCTAAAGTGGCCTTCTCATCAGTCTCCATGCCTCTCCTCTGGTCCGGCCCGTGGTCTCAATCCATTCTCCCCACAGCTGTCAGAGTGATCTTTTTGTAAAATAAACCACGTCACATGCTTAAACACTTAGGATAAAATTCAAAGCTTCTATGGGGCCTACAAGGACCTACCTGATAAACAACTTTTCCAACCTCAGCACACACCCTCTTCCCTTCCTCACTATGCTTTCCCCACACTTGCTACCTTTCTGTTCTGCAAGCATGCCAACTCCTTCCTAGGTCTGGGCCTCTGCCCTTGCTGTCTCCTCTGCCTGGGATGCTTTTATCACTCTTTATATGTAATGGTGGTTTAAAACATCCACAATTTAGTGACACTCCCTTCAAGAGATTCACTTCTGAACAAAAATAATAAGGCAGAAGCAACAATGTATATTATGTCTAAGACTAAATCTTAAAAGGCAATTTTTTATACCTCAGTTAAAAAAAAAAAATAGAGGCCTCTGGGTGACTCAGTCGGTTACGTGTCCGACTTCAGCTCAGGTCATGATCTCGCAGTATCCTTGAGTTCGAGCCTCACATCAGGCTCTGTGTTGACAGCTCAGAGCCTGGAGCCTGCTTCAGATTCTGTGACTCCCTCTCTCTCCTGCTCATGCTCGGTTTCTCTCTCTCTCTCTCATAAATAAATAAACATTTTTTAAAAAATGTTTTTCAAAAGTAATATAGCTACTACCTACTCTTTCTTCCTTCCTTCCTTCCTTCCTTCTTTCTTTCTATGTTTAATTATTTTTGAGAGAGACAGAGCAGGGGAGGGGCGAAGACAGATGGAGACACAGAATCTGAAGCAGGCTCCAGGCTCTGAGCTGTCAGCACAGAGTCCAATGCAGAAATCAAACCCACGAAGCATGAGATCATGACCTGAGT